CACGGCCGCTGAGCCTGCGCGTCCGGAGCCTGTGCTCCGCAACGGGAGAGGCCACAACAGTGAGAGGCCCGCGTACCGCAAAAAAAAAGAAAAGAAAAGAAAAGCAAACAAACTCCCTGGATCTGGGGTACACAGAGAAGGCTGAGATGATAAGCCCAGGTGAGTTTTAATTTTTTTTTTTTTTTTTTTTCCTTGCGTTATGCGGGCCTCTCACTGTTGTGGCCTCTCCCATTTGCGGAGCACAGGCTCCAGGCGCGCAGGCTCAGCGGCCATGGCTCACGGGCCCAGCCGCTCATGTGGGATCTTCCCGAAACGGGGCACGAACCCGCGTCTCCTGCATCGGCAGGCGGACTCTCAAGCACTGCGCCACCAGGGAAGCCCGAGTTTTAATTTTGAAAGAGGACCATGAAGACTTCAGGATGAAATCCAAACATCTTACTCTACATTTAAGAAATTTCCATCTTACCTCAATTTAAAAAAAAAAAAGAAAGAAAGAAATTTCATCTTAACTAGTGATCTAGTGGGTAAGAGAAAACATGTACATAAAAGGAAAATCAAACATAAGCAAGCTATACCAAGAGCATGAAACAAGTACTACAAGATTTCAGAGGAAGAACCAAAAAAAATCATGAACCTGGGCAACAAAGTCAGCATTTTGAACTGGATCTTGGAGTGTTCAGGGAATAAGTCAACCAGTCTGGCCAAAACAAAGAACACAGAGAGATCAAACATGTGAGACAGAGTGTGTATACAGCTGTCCCACAGTTCCAGTCCACTGTTCATGTGCTTTTTCTTCCTCTCCCTATCTGGACAGTCATGTCAGTTCAGAGGCCAGGGACCACCATGATTTGTTAATCTGTTAGCTAAATGTCAGTCATCCCAAGAACTCAGAATAGTTTTACTATATTTAATCTCAGAATAGCGTAACATTGAGATGCACTCTGAAATCAGATTTTTTTAAATACCTGTATTAAAAAAAGCAAAACTTTTGTAAAAGTCAAGAAATAAGGATCCATAAATCACAACAAGAATTTTTAAGCACCCAGACACTTTTACAAAAACACTCTTAGGAACAGCTTAATAAAATTTTAAAAATTTAACTGCTGACATCCTCTAAAGAAGGAGGCAAAAGAATGGAAAGTCTGATGAAGTGATAAGCACTTTTAAGACAGGTTTACAATCAGTTTTTAAACAGTAATCCCTCTGGGAAATGGAAATTCCTTAATCCCTTTGAGGACAATATAATATTTGGATCAGGACCAAGAACATCTTGCTTCTACCTAAGTTCAAATGTGAGCCTTTTACAGTATCCTCAACATTAAATAGCAAGTGAAAGAGAGGAGAATTTCTAATCTATCAAAAAGAGAGGAAGCCAGCATTTTGGATTTATAATGTATCATTGCTACATACATATGCAGAAGCTTCAGTAAAATGAAACTAGGGAACTTCAAGATTTTAGTTTACAGTGATTACTTAACTGGAGCTTATTCCTGTGAAATGAAACTACCAGAATCTCTCAATATCAATTTGCTTGTCACTAAACCACAGGTTTATGCTTCATCTTGGAAATGCTAACAGGATGGAACCATGAGCCTTTTATTAAAACGAGATGACCATGGAGAGCGCCCTTGAAGCTTAGCAACAGAGGACTAAACCCAGAAATGTTCCCCTCTGGAAAGTGAGGACAGGTTTGACATGTACCCCAATGCCAGTCCTAAAATGCTTGACTACATTTTCCATAAAAGGTGGGAGTTGTAATAGTAGCATACAGTAGACACCAGCCCACTAGAAGCAGATGGAACCCACCAACTCATTTTACCCAGACCTTCAAAAAGGTACACAGAACTCTCTCTGCTTGCCAAAGCAGGGCAGATCTGAATGGATGAATCTAAGAAAAGGTTTCACAAGGGACTACTAATGGTGATTTCATTTGCCTACTGTAGCCCACAATGTAAAACAGGATCTGAAAAATGAAAAGCAATTTTAAAGCTCATTCTCCATACTCAAGCTAAACACACACACACACACACACACACACACACACACACACACACGGCCCAAAAGCTTTATTTTACAAAAATTTTTAAAAAAGACTCTATAATCTATTCCAGCACAGGGGCTCTTCCAGAAGGGAAATCTAGCTGGAAACAGTCCCTGTTTATGTACATAATTCACTAGGGGTCAGGTAAGATTCCATTTTGTAACAGCTGAACTTTAAACAGAAAGTCATTAGTGGTGCAACATTCATTCATTAGCATAAAGTTACCCCCTAGAATGAAAAGCACTGGCTGTCTCTGCCAGGATGACAACTTTACAGGGAGAAACTGGGGCCAAGGACCATGAACTCCTAGAAAGTTCTATCCACCTGAGAAGAAGAGCTCACCATCTCCATCAGCCTAAACTTAACTGTCACCCCATTCCTCACTCCCCACAGAGCAAGGCATCGCTAATATAGGAAAGTTTTAAAAATAAAAAATAAAGAGATGGGCCAAGGGTCAATAGCAGGCAAAGCCTTTCAGGGCTGACACGGATTCCTGTTTGGGATTGGGGGAGGGGGAGGAGCTTTCTGGATGTTTCTATTCTTGGCAAGAAAAGCACCTCCAAGTCCTGTACCGTCAAAAGGCACTAACACAGGAACGTTCTCAGGGAATGAATGATTTGCCTGTGCTAGGCGACTTCATTTTGGGGTGTGATGATGGGGAGCAGGGTGGGGAGGGCTAGAGGGCTGGAGAGGGAATAGAGGGAAGGTGTCTTTGACTAGGGGGGATGGGAGGAAAGAG